TAACCATTTAGTGACCTGAATCTGTGTAACTTATCACACAGCACACTTTAAATAAATGCAAAACATCCATTTTATGAGAATCTTGTGATTTGCAAATAGAAAACAACACTTTACTTAGGATTCACCAGAAACTTATTTAGCTAGTGTACTGCATACACAAGTAGTTGTAATGTTTTCCCTGTAACCAAATTCCCCTCAGTCTGGCACTGCTGAAATTGTGTCTGAATACTTGTGTATCTAAACAGTGTGTGGTCTGAATGTAATTTGTGTCACGCTGCTTAAGAAGCTATGTGTGTATATACAGTGTGTATATACATACATACGTGTGTGTGTGTGTGTGTGTGTGTGTGTATATATATATATATATATATATAATATATACACACACACACAGAGAAAATTATATATATAATATATATATGCATCTATATTATGGAAACAGACTTTTATGTTAGATGCTATTAATCGATTTTACAGCCATATATATATATAATTTGTGTATATATGTTTATATATGTATGTATAAAATATGTATTTGTGTATATACCTGTACATGTTATGTGTGGTGAGTGTGTTCTTGTTTGGTAATGGAGACCTGATTTTGTGCTGAGCTGGTACAGACCATTTCTGCACCGCTGACTTAGTAGCACTCAAACAGCTGTTTGTTTAACCTTCCTGTGCTCAGATAAGCGTCCACCTCCTCGGCCCACTCACTGCTAAGAAAAGGCAAACGGTGTGTGAGACAGAAAAAGAAAGAGTTGATTGCCCCGGAGTGCAAAGCAGGTGCTGAAAATTTCTGTTCCCATAACACATTTGGTATGTTAACATGCAAAAAAAGTTTGATTTCAGCCTGATTTAAAATTTGAATGCTGTACACAACACTCCGTTTTGTGTGAAGTTGGACTATCCATCAATCGATGTATCCTTTGTTAGTTATGTAATGTATTTAAAGATATATGCCCTTTTACAGCTTCACTTTATCTTGGTAGCTTGGGAAGCTAATGTTAAATGTAGTAGTGTTGGAGATGCTAAAGTTGCTCCTCATAGTCTGTCTAGCGTGGTTGTGTGTCTGGTTGAGTCATGCTAGCCTGTAGCCTTATTTTGGGCTGATCGAGTGATATTTATGCACAGGAATCTGAAGCACAGATGTCTTCACTTCTATGTTTGTTGTGAAAGCACTGTATCAGCCATTGATTTGATTTCTAAAGAAATGTCAGTACTCTGTAGATGACAATGTTATCAGGAATAATGGTTGTTTTACTAGTTTACTGTTCTGTTGTGTTATCCCTTGGGATTTAGAGGCAATGGAAGCATACAATGCAGTGAAGGTTTGGGTTGTTTTGTCTAGTCCAGTGAGTCCAGGGAGGGAGTGGTGCTTTTTAAGGCTTTATTGGAACAGACTTGGAGAAAGAGAGCAGAAAATGGACCGCTGGATGTCTGTTCCAGTAATGAGGGAGGGCCGGATACTCCACAACATGCTTTGTTTAGCACCAAAGCCTACCAGACCAAGCAGAATTCCCCGCTCGCCAGCTCTCGGTTTTTTCCCCTCACTCCCTTCATCTCTTTGTCTGTCTGTCTGTTTCTTTGAACCAATCAAATCATTCTCTTGCACTCGCGGTGTTGGGGTGCCTGATTATTGTTCGCGTTGTTTTTAAACGAGCAATTTAACAGCGACGTGTCTAGTTCTGTGCACTTGATGACTGAAATATGACAACAACAAAAAATTCATAACTGCCTTACTGGTAAATGTTTAAAAGTAGTGTAGAATTGTCCCTCACTGCTTATGATTCCCTTTATCTTATGCGTTAGATTGTGATGATTTTCTTTTTCTTGTTAATGTTGTTTTATTGATATAATAACACGGCTTGTTAGGCTGCATTTACACAGCAAAGCCTTTTCCACAAATCTGATGTTTTGTCATCATTTGATTTAATTCTCTAGTTCCCAAAATTGTTTGCAATATACTTATAAGATCCATAACAGAGCAACATATTATTATATTATGTATATATATTTTATTTAAGATTTAAAATAACATGCATTTTATACTGTGCAGTCATTGACTTACTTGGCAGCGACTATAGAGTTTCAGAGAAGACGACACTGTCGTTGTCAGAACGATCATGTTTCGGTTCTGCTTCCAGCTAAACACACGCGGACCTTTATTGCTGGATCACAGAATGTTGATCGCTACATTATGAGTACGTGTATGTGCCTCACAAACATTCGTTCTATTTGGTTGGGTCTTTAGTAAGAAGTTTGTATTTCAAGTTGGCAGTGTAACCTGTCTGATGTGTCCGTCATGTGATTGTAGGACTCGATATGGCCACCGTGTGACCTGATTGTCAAGAGAGCGCTGAACCTGATCTCAAAGCTCACCTTTAATCTGATCTGAAGTCAGAATTGCACTACGTCATGGTTGCTTTTCCCAGCAGCACCTCCCAGTCCTCAGGCCTGGTTTCTACAGAATCTGTCTTACTCCTGCTTATGGGCATTACTCCCCACTCCCCAGTGTGGAAACGTCCTACTTTTGATTAATCACTATCGTGGTGCGTATATGCATGTGTGTTGGAGGTTTATAATGTAAGGAAGTAATAAATATCTGCCAAGTATTATTACCCGTAGAGCAATATTCTACAGATTTGGCCGTGTGTGGCTGTTCTGAGCCGAAGCACTGATGGTTTTTGTTGATCCCAAGACTGCAAGCTCACTGAGTGTGAAACCTCCAGTCCAATAACCATCAACACCACCATTCACAAATCAACACTCATTTACGAGGCTAATTTATTGTAGGGTTTTAAAGGGAGACGTGATCTGAACTCCAGGGTAAAATCGTTGACACCTGAAACAATATATTAATGTCCCCTCTTGGGTCTAGTGGTAATTTAATGTTATATTCCTGTAATGGAGATTAGGTACAGTTGTGCTCACAAGTTCATACCTCTCGTTTTTTTCATTAGTTTACATACCCTTTGTGTAATTTTTTTAAAGATATTTAACAACATTTAAAAAAATAAGAGAAAATCTTTTTGGTATTTTTTTATTTTATTTTACATGAATATTTTGGATGTTATATTATTGTGTGTGTGTGTGTGTATGTGTGTATATATATATATATATATATATATATATATATATATATATATATATATATATATATATATATATATATTCATTCATCATGGTGGTGCCAAAAGATTGCAATATTTTAGTAAAAAGGGTATTTAAACTTATGAAGTGTGTCACACTAAAATTAAGACTGTTATACAGAATATCCTATATAATAATCAAAGTTTTGCTCTTTTAAAATAAATAGGCTTATGTTTTTTATAATGTGTAGTTAATAATCTGTAACATCAACTTGTTCTACTCTTTAATTGCAGTTTTCAGCAGAGTGTCTAGCACACAGAGCTTAAACATACTCAGTCTCCCAAAACAGCTTTGACTAGTGAATGCTGAGCAGGCACCTGTCTCAATGGGAGCTATTGTTCACATCCCTCTCTTCATAAGTACCCTTTGTACTCAATATGGTCCCATTTGGGCCTCACATCATAATGGTGCAAAAAGAGAGAGATCGCCCCCTAGTGGAGCTTTGCTTGCATGTGCCTCAAATATTAAGATGCTTACTCATAACTGTATTTAACATTGTATTGCTGGTTAGTCAGTTCTGGACAAGTCATATGCATAATATTGAGTGGCATAAAAGTGGCTAAAGATCTCAAACCCTACGAAACAGTGATTCATAACATTTTCACCATTGTATATTGTAGGGGTGGAACGGTACATGTTTTCGTACCGAACCGAAACGGTACGGGCGTCACGGTTCGGTGCACGAATTTACACGGAGAATACACGGTATAAAAATAAATAAAACTCGCGTGAAAATCAATTAATGTAATGCGGAACTACTGTTAGATACGCGGGTTCTTTAGGGACACATAATCTGTACCATCGGCTTAGCTCTGAACGCGCGTTCACTTCAAACGTTGGCTTTATACGCGCGTCCTATTCGCTTTGGACTAGAGTCGAACTAGACGCGATAGACGCGAATTTAACGCTCTATTCGCGTTTGGTGTGACCGCATAATGAACAGGCTGCGATGTCAAGATTGCAATGCTGGAGTTTGTGTGTGAGAGAGAGAGGCGCGGCCGCGATCGAACAGTGGAAACAAAAAACATACTCCGTCATTTTGTTCATACAGATGAGATCATTAAACCTGCAAAGTGTTTACTTATATTTGAAATATAAGTAAACACTTTGCAGGTTTTGTGTACACTCGCAATAAAACACAACATTGTGCTTTTGTCACACTGTAAATTTGTCAAACTGTAACTTACAACTGTCACCCAACCAAAATCTCTCTCTCTCTCTCACACCCACACACACACACACACACACTGTTTTAAAAGCAAAACATATTTATCCAACTCCATTTCAAAACAGTCTGTGGGTCCCATCTTTTGGACATTCGTCATATTGCATTGGTTTTCATTTCTTGTCCTCTGAGCACTAATCTTACACATTCTACATTGATTAAAAAAGAAAATCGAATGCATTTTTAATGGTAGTATTATTTTATAGAAATCAATTATTTATAATTCAGATGAGAATAATGTTACATTGTTAATTATAATAATGTTAATTAAAATTAAGGAAAACAAATATATTTATATAAAATATAGCAAATTAATTTTAAATTAATTCAGGTACAATTACCAAACATATTGCAAGGTCTTTTTGTCTTTTTATTAATTTAATTAATAAACGAATTATATAAAACTATTGTCAGTGCACTACAAATAAACTGGTTCTATGCCTTTATTAATAAAACTTATTTAAAAAATACAATGCCTTCTGCATTTTTGTTTTGCTTTTCCCTCCATTGTACCGAAATCGTACCGAACCGTGATGTCTGAACCGAGGTATGAACCGAACCGTGACTTCTGTGTACCGTTCCACCCCTAGTATATTGACCACATACTATGTGTGTGTGTTTTCAGGAGCAGATCCATGTGCCGGTGTACCACCCCACTCCCAGCCAGGCCCGTCTGGCGACCCAACTGACTGAAGAGGAGCAGGTGCGGATCGCTCAAAGGATCGGTCTCATCCAGCATCTTCCTAAAGGTGTCTATGATCCAGGCAGTGACGGCACCGAGAAGAAGATTCGAGAGTGAGTGATGACATTGTGTATCTGTCTGTTTGCTTCTTAGTTATATTAAAGGTATTGAAAGCACCATTTTTTTCAGTCGAGCTCAAAACCCTGAACGCACGTTTACAGTGAGGGCAAAGGAATCAAGTTAAGCTGAAATCTGCTGTGATTAGGACTACGTGTTAAATTTATGAGGTTATTTAAACGTTGAACACTTTTATTCCTACATTTATAATGCATTTGACAGTTTTGATATTTCATTCTCTTTTGCATGATTTCTGAAGACTGCTCGGAGTAAGAGCAACAGCATGGGTCTTCCTTATCAGTAAATGATGGAGACGCTTTAACTGCCGGCTGGGACTTTTAACAGAACTATTCATTTGCAGACTTTATATGGTGGGATTTAATTCTCATTAAAGTTCAACGAGTATAAAATATCAAAAATACAAGCAAACACAGGGATAAAGTTGTTTAAATATGTTTTCCTATCCCTGCTCATTATGCTGAACCCTCTATAAGTTAGCCATTCATAATCTAAAACATTCCAAATGTGTAACCACTATTTTTGTGACTGTATCAAACATTTCTCATTGTTTGAACGCCCCAACTAAGCTGACAGAAACTTTAGCTCAACCAATAGGGCAAGTTTAGATGCGACTGTTGTCTGACCAAGAGCAGAAAGGAAAAGTGTTCACTGTTCAGTTAAACCAGTAAAAGCAGTCCGTCATTATTTTTTACAATGAAACCGCAATAACAATGAATGCGCAGTGTTTTGAAAGGGAAACTCTATTTATCGGCTTTAATCTTTTGACTGCGAACTTTCTTGTGCACGGTTCAGAACTGAATTGGCAATTCCTTTTAAATATATAACATTAAATAAATAAAAAAAGACATAAATAGTTCTATTCAGCGAGGATGGAATACATTGTGGCAGTAAAGACATTTATAATGTGACCAAAAAAACAAAACATTTAAAACAAATGCTGTTTTTTTTTTTTTTTTTTTTTTTTCTATTCGTCAAAGAGTCCTGTAAAAAATATTTCCACAAATATATAAAGCGGTACAACTGATTTCAACATTAGTAAGAAATGTTTCTTGAGCAGCAAATCCGCATATTAAAATGATTTCTGAGGGATCATGTGACACTGAAGACTGGAGTAATAATGCTGAAAATTCAGCTTTGCCATCACAAGAATAAAATTGCATTTTAAAATATATTGAAATAGAAAAGTTGCTTGTAATAATATTTCAGAATAGTACTGTTTTTACTGCATTTTTTTAATCAAACAAATGCAGTCTTGGTAAGCATAAGAGACTTCTTTTAAAACTTCTGAACCGTAGTGTATGTATGTGTAATGCTTTATTTTAAATGAAACCAAACAACCTGAAGCTGGCTTACAAGATAAAAAAAAAAATTCAATTTCTGTCATTCCCATTCAAATTCCACTTCAACATCCTGCAGGGTGTGACCAACTTTTTAAATTCTACATTACGCCCAGCCTGTGGAAATGCTGTACCCTTTGTTGTCCCGCGTATCGTGGTGTGTGTTAACACGTTCTCTCTCTCTCTCTCTCTGCGCAGGTGTGTGATCTGCATGATGGACTTTGTGTACGGAGACCCCATTCGGTTCCTCCCCTGCATGCACATCTACCACCTGGACTGCATAGACGACTGGCTGATGAGGTCCTTCACGTGTCCCTCCTGTATGGAGCCTGTAGATGCTGCCTTGCTCTCGTCCTATGAAACTAACTGACTACTGCCTGCACTGATCCCCGCCCTACGCACACACAGCCCTGGAGTCCTGTCCTCACACAGCCCGTTCCACTCGACTAGGGCGTGGAATGGCGTGCCTGTGGCATCATGGGAAAAAGGAGGACCTGCTAGGCCACAGTGATAATTATTAAACCCCTCCTGCATTGTCCTGCTGGACAGGGAAATTTGCAGGAGCCCTTTTGCACCCTGACGACTTCATCACGCGATTCCTTTTGTCTCTTGTAGACGACACCCAGACAAGCCGGTCACGCGCCATTCCACTGTAGCAACACTTACACTGGAAGGAGACGAACCTTCGAGAAACGTACTGGAGGACTCTTAAAAACACATCTTCAACGTTCAGTCTCTATTTCTTTCTTTCTTTCTCAGTGTCTGTTTCCATAAAGGGCTTGTTTGGTTTCTGCCGAAGCTGCAGTGGAGCAAAACAAATAGCATTGCACATACACATGCAAAGTAAAAAAGTTTCCTCATGATTTTTGCACTTTTGACTCAAAGCCCAACTGTACACACACGCATGCACATACCTTGTGCACACAGGAATCATCACATACAACTTTTATTTAACCACATGCTATAGCTTTTGAGTTTGTATGTTTGTTTACTTGTTTTAAACTACTCTATGAACACTTCAGCTGCCCAGTTTGTGTTGAGAAATTATCATTTCTCTGTATTGGTTGTGAGCACCAAATCTGAAGGGATTTGGGGAAGCCATTAATTAATTAATTATAATAATAATATCTGATATATAACCTGCATTATTTAAAATGTCAAAATAGTGGCTGATCTCACATGTTGGTCAAGCTGTAATGTTATGTTGCTTTTTGTTTTGTGAATCATGTTTTTTTTGTTTTTGTTTTTACATAGTTTTAAAATCATCATTACTGTTATTGTAGTAACAACTGAAAAATTGTATTTACAGACAAAAAACACTGAAGTCATCAAAAGTCTGAAGGTGGCTATGAGGTCAGCCTCTTAGTGATTAATGCAATATAGACCGTGTGACTCACAAAAGTACATGTATGAGTGTGCGAAACCGCTCGATAATGAGAATTTCACCTTCATTGCTGATGCACTTGTGTTTTGTTAACTTTATTGTACATAGTGCAATGATATATATATTTTAGTGACTTTTATTTGAATTCTGAGTACCAGATACTTTAAAAAAAGTCTTTATGACATCATAAGGGACTCATAAGCCTTAAAAAAAGAAACATTTGAATCTTTCATGGATTCAGCTAAGCAAATAGCGAGTGTTTTTCCCTTTTGTTTTTTTGTGGGAAAAACTTCTTTCCCATAGACTTCAAATACTTGGCATTAATTTGCGGTTTTTGTGGAATACTAGACAACGGGCAGGGGATGATCACACCCAAAGCGGGGATGTGCATGAATAGCTGTTTGATGTTTATTCAAAATGAAAGATGGTTTGTGTTTGGTGAAATTACGTCCAGCCCTCTTACTCTGTCTATGACTATAAAAAAAAAAAGCACAAGAGAGCATAGAAATCAAGTCTCTATTTTTCTTAACTCTCAAGTTTTATATAAAGACAAAGTAATTGTTAGAAATGAAAACTGGTTGTGGGTAATGTACCCATTAAATCTGTCCCCTTAATTAATCGTTTTTTTTCCTCGTGTTTGAACTCATGCCTTGTGTGGAGTGACTGTAAGTGTGTAGTTAATGAAGGTGGAGGATATATTCTTCATAGAAAAATCCATTGACCTGTTTTTGCACAGTACTTTTAGTTTTTGTTTTTGTCTTCTCTTTTTTTCCCCCCGGTCTCTCCACACAACGTGGAGCTCCATTGCCTTAGACCAGACTACCAGGAGGCTTTTGGCTGGACGTCCTGGGCTGACGGGGGCTCTACACCAGCATCGGGAGGACGGAGTGATGATGATGATGATGATTGAGCATTTGGACGTAATAAACTGCGTTCACAGACACTTTTTGCTCCTGAGAGACGTCATCAATGCAATGCCATACATGAAACTGATTCTCCATGATGTGCTGGGAGCACATGGACATTATCTGTGATCTGTTTGTATGTGACACGTGTGTGTAAGGCTGTGAGAGTCTCCCGTTTGTCTGTGAATATATATATATATATATACATAAACCTGTATATATAAAATTATGCATCTTCTATGTACTACAGGCAAATAATAAATAGAATTTATGCTATGAAATGGTCTGCTTTTGTTTATTGTTCTATTTGAATATCAATTTTCATTAAAATGTAATTGAAAACATTATATAGCCTAATGCTTAAAAAATGCTGGGTTATTTCAACACAAATTTGGGTCAAATATGGACAAACCCAAATGTTGGGTTAAAAATGTAATTTAAAATTTTAACCGAACTTCAACTTTCACTTTCAACTGTAAATTTTTTAATTACATTTTTAACCCAACATTTGGGTTTGTCCATATTTGACCCAAATTTGGGTTGAAACAACCCAGCATTTTTTAGTGTAACAGATCATTCAGTGGCATGTATCCATATAGTTAGAATGTAGTGAAACTACACACACACACACACATATATATATATATAGTTTTTATAAATATATATATTATAAGTTTTCATATATATATATATATTATATATATATATATATGGTTAATGGTAAATGGACTGCATTTATATAGCGCTTTCACAGACCCAATGGCCACCAAAGCGCTTTACAATTTGCCTCACATTCACCCTAAATTAAATATCTGGATTGCAGCTTACTCATAAAATGTGGTCTGATCTTAATTTAGGTTACAGTTATAGACAAACAATCTGACTAAACTAATAACACACAAGCAATTGTACTTTTTACATATTTATAATTGTCAATATTGTTTTTCTGTAATTGTGACTTAAATTAGTCACATTTTTCAGTTTTCCAAAGGCTCACAAACGTATTCTTGCCACTGTAGCCTATATTCATGATTATTATTAATGAAAGTTATTATAAATCGATACCCCTCTTTAAATTATTTTTAACTCATTGTTCTTTGTAAAATGACGTCACTGCGTAATGAAATTATACTGAAATTCTGCTCATAAAAAGGGGTCAAAAAACCGGTTTCGTTTTGTCTGCAGTAGCATTTGTGCGTCACAAGAGGGCGCTATAACTGTCATGTCGAAGCACGTGAACTGCTGAGTCACTTTTGTTATATGCTATAGCCTACCCAGCTATTTCCACTTAGATTCAAAAACTCGATAATTTTTAATTAAGGTTTGGCCATAACTAAAAGAACGTGCAAAAACGTTATGTAGGCCTATTGTTATAGCCGTGTTGTTTAGAGCTTGCTTTCTTATGTGAGCTTGTTTTCCAATGTTATTCTGTAAATATATATTTAGACCTACAGTAGGCTACCATTAATCAGTCAGTGATGGATGTCTTTGTAAAGTGAATTTTGTATGAGAGGATTTTTTTTTATAATAATAAACATTTGCCAAGACAAAAAACTTTACTGCATTGGTCTACCATACAAGGGCATAGGGAAGACGGGCCTAGTTGTCACACTTTTTTACTCCAAGTTTTTATGTCCAAGTGAAATTTTATTTTCAGTTTCTGTATTGGCTCATACCTTAAAGTCTTGGCTGCAAAAACAAAACAAAACAAAAAAATACTTAACACGTGCGTACATCCTTATTGCCAAGGAAAAAAGACACTTCATTAAACATTTTAGCTCACACTACTCACATTGTAAATCACAATGTGCTCCTGCTTTGTATTGACGTTGATTTGAGAAGAATATATCTTATTTAAATGTTAAATATTACATTTCAATCTAAATATTAAATAAATGTTTTTGTTTTTTTTAAATATCAATATACCTGGAAATACAAAAAAATATTTTCAAAAAGCATTTTAAATACTGACTAACACAATTTACTCAATTTACAAATGTGGCAACCTGGCCTGACCTGACTTGAAAGTCCCTTTGAAAATTCCTCTTCTATGGATTTACATGCATAGCCTATGTAAATATATGTAAATATGTACATATTTGTTTAATATCTGCTACTCAGAAATATAGTTTGCATAGAGGCTCTGTGACCTGCAAGTGACATAAAAACTCATTAGGTGCACTTTTAATAAAAAAAAAGGTTCAAGTGTAACGATTCCTGATCAGCTTTAAAAAGGTGTTTTCCAAAATACTTTGTACGTTACTGGGATCTATCTATCTATCTATCTATCTATCTATCTATCTATCTATCTATCTATCTATCTATCTATCTATCTATCTATCTATCTATCTATCTATCTATCTATCTATCTATCCTGCTCATCATATTGTGCATCATATTTCCATTATCCGTCATATTGTGTCACAACCCCCAGTGCCTGTGCAGAAAGTGGAAGGAAGCTGCACTTGAATTGAGTTCTGTGCTGTCAGTCACTGCAACCACAAATTCAGTTTTTTATGAAAATGGAAAGCAAAATGCACAGTGAATGCATTTTTCATTGAAATGGAAAGCAACATGCATGGTGGTGAGTGATACTTCCCAAAGTTTTATAAAAGTGTATCTGTTGACTGGCCAATGCCTCACCACCACAGGGCTTTTGGACATATTGTATCACCCCTTCTGTGCAAAGAGGATTTTCAAGTGGCTCTCCACCTGGCAGCTGCTCACAAGCTCTTGTAACACTCATAAATTACAAAGTAGCAAATTTGTTATATTGCCCACAAAATCAGTGATGCTTTGGCTGTAAAGCAAAGGGTGTTTTATTCAGTACTCTGCATTAACTTTCAAACATCAAGAAAGACAGACTGGCCGCTTTTTTATATTATTATTTGCATTTATTAAATTTAAAACTGTTTTTAAAAAAGCCCTGCGGTTGAAAAGCAATTACCCCATGCACATACATAAACTATTACATTATACTGATGTAAAACATGACATAAATACACATATGCAAAAAAATTATGCATTTTGGATCAATAGAATGACAAACAAGGGTTGGTGTAAGTTGAAAGATTTTGTCATTCGGTGACCTCACTGGGACAGAACAAAATATTGCAGTTGAGCAATTAAACAGACACTGCAAAAAATCAGACACCGGCCGGGGTAAACAGTTTGTGAAATGCAGATGAAAGGTCTGCCACACCATGCTCCCTCATGTCTCCATTAGGTTCAAATGGAACTGACCTCATAGCAGGGCGACTTAAATAACAATAATGAAAAATAAAAATAAGTAAATAAAAAATTGTGACCCATTTTGCACTTAAAATATTATTCAATGAAGAGTAAAGGATCTGTTTACACCTACACAGACCTGGCTTCATGCAATCAGAATCAACCCTAATGCAATGAATTTGTACTTTTATTAAAATAATATAAAGGCCTCTCTTAAAATATTCTCCAGTATAGAAAAATTATATTTTGCATTGATCACTCCTACATTAACCTACATTAAGACCACTTAAGAAACTGCATATAACTGTTAACTAGCAGCTCCATCAAAGGTCAGAGCCCTCGATACACCCACTTTCAAGAGAAATGACAGTTTTGATGTTCTCAGCAGGTACAATCTATATACAATATATCAAATTTATCACAGGTAAGCCAGGATGGATGCAAAAATACGCATGTGTAGAGAACAGATGGTCATACAATCTGTCTCGACATGACTGAGAATGCAAGGGTCAACATTGTTTGCTTTCAGTAGCCTATTGACGTGTCAAAATCTTCAGTAAAATCTTATAATCTTGCTATACATTCAACATGTTACATATTGATTCTAAGTTATTGTTTTGATTAACTCACACATAGTTCTCCCAATAAACATAAAGCTTTCTTTTTTAATTGTTAACCATACCATGAGTGCTAAACTGACCATAAACATGCCCAAACATGTCTAGAGGTTTTGCACATTATAATACGTTATTTTATTTACCTATTTCATCGTTGACAGTCGATATAAACCCATGTTGAGAGCTGAATAATTGTCATAAATGTAATTCATTCGATTCGAAGAATAAAGCATCGTGCGTTTCTAAGATTTTACGCAGCCGCGCAACCAGGAAGAAGATCACTGCATGGCATCTCCATAATCATGAAAACTGCGTTTAGAAGCGCCAAACACCCTATAAGTTTCGTCTTCTCTTGCAGAGTGCGTTTGGGGAGAATCGTGAGCGTTTTTACACCGAAAGCGCCTAAATTTGAAAATCTTGGCAGCGCGCAGCGGACTGTTTCCTCCCACCGATCTAACGGATTTCTGCTGCTGCACGACCATGAAAACCCTCACAGAGAATCACCATTTTATCATTCACTGTCTATCCGTTTACATTGTGCGAACATAACAGTCCATGTATCCACGACGCTCACGAACCCTAAAAATAAAAGCGCATTGCTTATCCAAGATAATATGGCACATTATACGAAATCGTGCTAAAACGTGTCCTCAGTCCTGTTTGTAGTCTGGTTTTGAAATGAATGACTGCCACACACCACATGCCAAAATATTTGCTTTAGATTACTGCGAGAGAAAGCACAGAAATAATGTGCCAGCATGACGCATGTTTAGGTTTCACTGCATGCGTTTTTGTTGCTGTTGGTTCGATATATATGGGTCAATAACAATGGGTCAATGTCCGAGATTGTGGAAAGAATCTTTTGATAATCTACTTTAAAACACATGTAGGCCTATCAAGTTATTAGATGTATAATCTTTGTATTCATGTTGGTTTCATACATTTAAAAAAAAAAAAAAAAAAAAAAAATCACACACACACACACCTTTTTCTATAAAAATGGATTTAATGACTCTATAAATATATCACCATCTACTAAAATACGGTCTTTGCACCTTTAATAGATGTGAGTATATACAAAGATATTAATGTACACCCCCACCCACCCAAAATATCATGAATTATTGAGTCTAGAGAATTTAGCATTAGGCCTACTTTGTTTGACCTGAACAAGACGTGCCTTGTCATGAAAAGGTCAAAATGTCTGAAACATATTCGTCCTGCTTGTTACTTATGCCACAGTGATTTTCAAATATTAATATTTTAAAGCAAAAAGTCTTCGTTGTTAATTTTTGAAGAAATAAAATGAGCAGATTATGCCAAATTTACTCCAACATCCACCCCCACCACTAAACGCTTAGTCTTTTTTTTATATATATATATACAATCTCCGGACAGTTACACCGCCAGTTATTATTACTTTTAAAAAAAAAAACTACAAATAAACATATTAAAATGACTTTTATTTGATAAATTAAAAACATATAATCCAGAGCGTAAGAATATTTTTAAAAGGTGAGAGAAATGTAGCCTAGCTAATTCTCGTCAAATGAATTATAGAGCCATGAAAATGGTTATGGTTATCATTTGTTTCGACTTTTCACTACAATGAAAGCTAAATCTGATAATTGTCAACCGTCAGGCTTTCTGTTTACAGAGGGAACGGCAGACAACTGGTGTTCTGCTAAAAATATATACAACTCTGCCACCGCTAACGTCACAGCGTTTTTATTTAGCCTGCTTTAAACATTCGACAACATCAAACAACAGTTTCAAATATTCCATGTTTTAATACAGTCTCATAAATGTTTTCTAGGCCTACCCGTATTTCAGTGACACGAGGCCAGTTAAACAAAACGTCATGAAAACATACTGAAACCGTTTAACAGGTGTCTTTGGTTATTTTGCAAGGTTTTAATATTTTAAATGCGGCAAAAGACTATCTTTCACAGTTAAAAAGGCATTAATTACAAGCAAAAGTGCAAATTTAATGTCATAAAACTAAACACAACAAAAATCAGAGCAGTCAGGGGTTGTTAAGTGAATTTTGACCATTATAGTGCAATTACTTCAATACAAGGAGATTGATTTCTTTGAGCACATCAATTAATCTAGATTATACTTTTTTCTTGTTATAAAACAGGACATATGACAGGTATGCGCTTGAAAGTTATAGTGAAAGAAATGATCTACAAATCTAAAATGGAGGCTATGACCTGAAAAATATCTCATTGAAAACAAAACCCATTTATCCAGTTGAAATTGTGGGCCATGTGAATTACATGCAATGTCAAAAGTTAATTATTCTTCACAAAACGTCAAGCCCCTGAGCCCAATATTTTACATCGCAATAAGAGGTAGTTGGCTGAATTTCCCGCAATGCAACAAATCGCTCATTCAGCATTTATCTGCTACCTCTGTTACACAACAAAACACACAGGCCCATAATCATAATCTCTAGCTGGATTGTGAAGGCGCAATGTTCTCTAACCACTCCACAGTTTGATATTTTTTGTGCAATGACGCCAGGTCAAGAGGCGTTTGGCCTTTTGCGTTCCGCAGAAACGGCTGCGTGTTGCAGTAAGATACGAGATACTGCACGACATCCAGGCATCCTTCTTGCGCCGCCAAATGCAGAGGCAGGTTGCCCTTGTTGTCAAGAAGATTGACATCAGCACCATTCTGCACGAGCACCTGTAGAGTGTCCAGATACCCGTCTCGCGCGGCGTCGTGACTGACGGTCAGTCCTAGGATGGGGTCGCGCGCGTTTGGGTCTGCGCCTGCTAGAAGCAGCGTCTCTGCTATGCGCGGGCAGCCAAGTTTCATCACCTGAGAGAACAACCCAAAGAGAACACGTGTTAAGGAGCTAAGAATATTCGTACAATAATTCATTCATGACATAAATAATGTTTTTAGCGAAAGTGTGCATTTTTAATTAAGCATTATGAGTGGATTATTGAAGGTTTCAATCAAGATGATAAGGTGACGCCTGTATATGAATGCATGAGGGAATATTGTATTTTAGGTCAAATTGCCAACATCTTTTAGATACATGTGTGTGTGTATATATATATATATATAGATATGTATAGCATATATATGATAGTTCTAAGAATGTGTACCTATTATTTCTCAGAAGAGATGTCATTTTTGCTGTCATGCAAATAGAAAGAAATCGAAGAGAGGAATTGCTGCAATAATAACCACTACTTCAGAACGATATAAAAAAATGTTTAAAAGCGAACAGAATTGTAAACAAATAACGACCTCCTAAATTATAATTCTCTGGTGATAACATAGGCCTATATGAAGATATAAAGTGATGTCATTCCCAGGAAAAAAAAATCTACTTAGCCTACTACGAATTATGTTTATGGCAATTTCACCAGATCACCAGTGCATCATACGAATATTTTAATATGGGTAATGCTCCATCTCAAACGATTTTAAACCACTCATACTTGGATAATTATTATGCATGCATTTATTTGACCTCATGTTAATTAAGAGACCACGTGGAATGTTAATAGTCTTTTATAAATTCATTTGTCACATCATAGACACATTTTAAATGACCTAGGGGAGGTAAAAGGCGATAACACGAGAAATAAAAAGCACAGTGACCAGTCACAGCACTTAAAATATACACCTTTCCTTATTCATTCATATACATTTTCACATGAAATCGTAATGTTGATCAAACAAAATTTCACGAATATTTTATTTTATCATCTACACCTATAAATATATCATGCCACATATGCATATAGGCAGACATTGGCATATGCTACATAGCAGCACCGAGGGGATTACCCAGAGTTTAGATTATCACTCATTCCGAAGCTGAGAGAATATATTGTGTGAATATGACACAAGCACATGAGTAATAACAACATATTTCATGCTGACCAATATTAAACAGCTATATTGTGTTTGGTGTAAGTCCAGACGGCCTTCTCATTAGTAGAATATTTGATTTATAACTGAAATAACAATTTAAAAAGTAGAAACAGAAAGTAGAAAGCCTCTTGAGGCTTATTGCATGTTCATATATAAAATATGATTTTAATTTGATTTAATTCTAGAGTTTTATCTTACCCCATAAAAGTAAAATAAAATAAACATAAGCATATACAATCACTTCTGGCCTTATTGCCAATAAAATTGAAACTGCGTGACCAACTTTGTTGTTACACCTACGTTATAAAAAAAAACCCTGAAACAATTACAATAACATCTGAATCTGTAAAAGGCTGCCAAAAACGATAATGTATTTCCTTTAGCTCGTGATCTGACTATAGTGTAATAAAACAGTTTTCAGTTACACACAATAAATGCTTTATGTATCAGATAACGAGTGATAATAATTTGTTGGCATAGTAAAATATAGATTATTTGCAACAGGTGCGTAGGGCTACTTGTTGGTTTGCAGGTAAACTTTAAAAAAGAAAACCACAGGTTTAGTTAGAAGTAAGTCAACCAGGCCACTGCTCATGGTGACTGCAAGGAAAAGGACAAATTGTTTTCGTGAGGCTGATGTAGGCTACTATGCATTATAAACAACACCGTCTTTCTTTAGATATGAAAGTTGTTCGTGGAGATGAGCGTCTAACCTGCAATGGTGTCCTGCCGAACTTGTTCTTCTCATTAACGTTCACGTTGCTTTGCAGTATCTGTTCAATTTTCATCAGATTTCCCTGCGCAGCTGCAGTGCTCAGTCCATCTATAGCTGTGTCCTCGGCCATTATATACTGACAAAGGAGGTAAAATATCTCTGATGCTTGCTTTTAAAAAATGTACGCTGGTTTATATGGCAAAAGTACTACAAAGCTGTAGTAAATAGTCCGATCATCCAGCCCCCCTAAAAAAATATCCGTTGGAGACGCGCCAAGGTCCACCCACATTAATATCGTCCTACCGAAGCCATCGGAACCAACGGAGAACACAGGGATGCCATGCCATCTCTTATCGAATATATGGACATTCAAGCGATATATGGAAAAAAACAACAAAGCAAAACAAACATCATCTTTCATATGATCAATGCGAGAGAATCCTTTCCGTGTCCATGAATGACATGAAGCTCCGCCGTGGTCTCGGTCCAGATATGATCTCGCATTCAAACAGATCTGTAGTAGTCACATGAAAAATGCTCGCATCTGAGAGCGAAACTTCCCTTTCATGAGTCCTCTGATATTAACTATATGCAGGTGCATTGGGCTGGAGAACTGGAATGCGTTCATGGCATTGGCAGATGTTGTCATTTCAAGCCTCCAAACGACCTCTGAAAACAGATAAATAGAGGGAGAAGACTGTTATTCGCGAGGAATTTTTTTTTTTATTTCGTATCCAGTGAGTTCGCAAGGACGTGTTGCAAGTTTAATGCAAGCTTCCCGCCCATTTTGAATATGAAACGTTAAAAGCAAATCTTCTTTGATGTGCACATCAAAGAACGCTGGCATGAGGGTTATCAACACTGGTTAACTGACACTAGTCGCCTATATCGAGTTGACACGCGTAGAAATAATCTTTAATAGGTTTTCAAGCTGCGAGGAAGCATTTCAAACTGCAGCCGTGAATATCTACAAATGTTCTGTCGTGGTGATTCCTCGCGCACGGAGCTGCAGTTACACTGTGACGATTCAGCCGATGATGGACGACGTCATAATGCTAATGGATCATTTAAAATGAAACATTGTATCCAATACCTGCAGGATGGTTACGTCGCTCGCATCGAGTTATCCTCTCCAAATGGCTCATACGCGATGAAAAGCTGGTTGCAAGACAGCTGACTTTGTCAGTGAGACTGCCGCTGTTGTTTGACATCACTCCGTTTTTGAAATAAAGAAGGGCCGACACTTCCGCCCACTTTTTCTAACAGACGCGGAGTGAGGCGGGACTCAACGGCAATGCAGCTGGGGAGAGTGTGAGAGATGCACTTTCTGCTAAATTCTCGCCGCTTTTGCCATGTTAAGCATTTATCCTTGAGCTGTAAAGGCTTTTTAGTGTTGGTGTTCCCAGTGTAAGATTTCTCTCTCTACAAATATGCGTTTGAAGTGAAACTCAGGAGGAAAGACTGTAAAACACTGCAATATTCAGTCATGTGAACTGCCGAGATGCTATACCCCTCCAGCGCACCAGTATCATTTTCTGAAAACGGCCTGTTAATATTTGACCATCCCATCGTTTTGTTTATTCATTGGAATGAATAGCAATAGCTGTTTACATTAATACTACACACTAATAGGCTATAATTATAGCCTACTGACACATATTGCTACATCTCTGCTTAAAAACATACTCCTATTGAACTGGGCAATGCTGTTTTCCGGTGTTATAGAGGATTTCTAAACACTTTTTAGTGGGCTAGGCTGTGAGACCAGCTAAGACCAGCTAACCAATTTAAGCTGGCCTATTTTTATTTATTGTTTGTATGGTTTTACTGTTTTTCTAATTTGGCCAAGATGGTGCTCAGCTTATTGAAAAGCTTATCTTTTAGCCTGACCCACTTAAAATCGCCCTAAACCTCTCTAAAACCCACCCTGGTAGGGCTGGCATAGCTGCTAAGACCTGCAAACCAACTAAGACTGGTTGAAGAGTCCAAAGGACCAAGGAAACCTGTGCGTTTAGCCCTATGGTTTAGCCAGAGTAGGCATACCTGTAATATGAAATCAGCCCTTCTAAACGATCAGGAGTTAGTAACGTTTGATTAGTCATCACTGTTGGCATTGTAATACGTTCATGTTTACAAAATAAAAACCTTGTTTTGGGGGTTAACACTGAGGTTAAACAGTGAAAACATGCTGCAGATAATAGGGAACTGCCTATAAACATGTTTTGATAAACTATTTTAATGATTTTAATGATTTTTTTTGTTGTAAAATGTCACAAGGTAGTCAAGCAAGTCACTTGTAAGAAAGTCCATTCCAATTCAGCAGCGGCCCTGCTGCTTTAAAAATACGCAGCACTTTCCAACCGTGTGAGTTGCGCGACAGTTCACAGCACCTCTTTACGGCAGCCGTATGATGTTTTCGTTGCTTTGAACGCCGATCCACAACAGCAAAGTGACGATAACAGAAAAACTGAAAGCCGCCAAACACTGACAACAAGGCCCAGAAGTGCAGCATTTATACACAATTACCTGCTGCACACTGATAAGCCGTGTCCTGAACTGCTCTTTTGAAATCGGAGGTTGATATTTTTGGGGTTTTTACATGAGTCGTTAGCCTCTTACTGCAATGGCCTCCGACAGCAACATGGACAGAGAAATGATCCTGGCCGACTTTCAGGTGGGTTTACTCGCATATGTTCTTATAATCTGTAATTTTATAAGGTCTGAATGTGTAGTTAAGATCCGTTCTTTTGCCTGCTGACTGCTATACGGGTAACGGCTATTGAAGTCAGTCCTTTTTGTTGACATGTATCGAGATGATGAGCTGTCAGTGGCTTTGTTTGAATTATTCAGCAAAAACGAAGTCTGGCAAGCACATGATCGGGCAAATTAAGAATAAACAGCTGAAAATACATCATTTTGTTACCATCTGCCTATATGGAACTAGAAAACATTACAGGACTGACTGACATCTGAATCCTGATCTGTATTTTCATGACCCTGTAATGGCCAGAAGCTGTCAAATGACTGCACGGTTTTCTCTGTTTGCACACTGCCATCAGCTGTCACAATCCTGTTTTTCAGTTTGTTTGCTTTAAAATTGTATGAGTCAGTTTACAAGTATTGACAATATGTGTTTTAATTTTAAATGTGTCAGATCTAAAATATGTAGCCGAACTAAACAAATATCTTGAGGTGGCAGTCACCAAAACTGAAGGTTGCTTATACATAATAATAAGCATCTCTCATATAAATTGATAGCATTTCCTGTCTGTTAGATTGAAGAAAGCTTTGCTGTTACCTGCTAGGTGAAGTTAAATGTCACATATAAAAAATGTGTACACTACCGTTCAAAAGTTTGGGCTCAGTAATTTAGTTTAAAATTTTTTTTTTTTAAACTTTTATTCAGCAAGGATGCATTAAATTGATCAAAAGTGACAGTAAAGACATTTATAATGTTTCAAAAGATTTCTATTTCAAATAAGTTCCGTTCTTTTGAACTTTATCAAAGAATCATGAAAAGAATGTCACTGTTTTCACAAAAATATTAAGCAGCACAACTCTTTTCAACATTGATAATACTAAGAAATGTTTCTTTAGCACCAAATCCGCATATTAAAATGATTTCTGAAGGATCATGTGATACTGAAGACTGGAGTGATAATGCTGAAAATTCAGCTTTGCATCACAGGAAAAAATTACATTTTATGGTATATGAAATTGTAATAATATTTCACATTTTTTTTCTTGGTAAGCATAAAATACTTATTTGAAAGCATTAACAATTTTGACCAACCCCCAAACTTTTGAACAGTAGTGTATGTGTTAACATTCTCAGGAATTAATTTTGGACCAGGTATGTTATTTCATTCTTTCAAAAATAAAAAGAAGAACTTTTGGTTTCTGGTATTTTTAATAAGCAAATCCATTTGTTTCAGGCATGTACAGGAATCGACAACATTGCTGAGGCGATCACACTTCTAGAACTGAACAACTGGGACTTGGTGGTAAGATTCACTTTGTTAAATCTGTAAGACGGACACACCTAGATTTGTTTTAAATCACAAACCATTTTAACAAGTGTGTGTCTTATATGCCTCCTGCTTATTGTTTGTATGTGGATTGTGGTGATGCAACAGAGAGACAAAGCCACTGTTTTTGAGTGCAAACTCTATTTAATGGTACCATTGTTCACAGAACATTCTGGCACAGTTCTGTAGATGTAGTAGCTGCATTCCCATATACCTGTTACATTGATTTTTAGGAGGAAAATGTAGTCAGTCATCAATGAAACATAGTCTGACATGTTAGTATTCACATTTTTGCATGTGTGCTCAGCAATAATGAAACGCATAGTGAACAATTGGGCTATAATCAGGGGTGTCATGCATTTTGAGGGGCACCAGTGACCGTTTTGACAATTCAAGTCATGATAGTCTAGTGGTGTAATTTTATAGTATGCATGGGGGCTGGGTTCAAAACATCATATAATACATTTTAATGAACCATGCAAAATTGCAGCTGAACTGCCAGGGATCGCCCTGCCTTTTATGTATAGAAAACAGTGGATGTTTACATTTTTAGATAACACTGTTTGTGTTTAATGGAAAAACCCAACCCCAAATAAAAATAACTATTATTGTTTTTAATAAAATGTTACTTGCACTTTTAATGTAATACCAATGTTCAGACCCAGTTATATACTGATGAACCAAAGTGAGAAAATAATTACTGAAAACTTTCTTGTCAACGTTCCAGAATATTACGATTATTATTAGACCTGTCCTACAGTGTGACATGCCATTACTATGCTATATCTTAAATTAATTGGAAACATTGTTTTTCTAATTCTTGTCTATTTATTATACACTACCATTAAAACATTTGGGAGCAGTACGTTTTAAAAATTTTTTTTTAAAGAAGTCTCTTAGGCTCACAAAGGCTGCATTTATTTCAAAATCACAGTAAAAATAAAACCCCAGTAATATTGTGACATATACTACAATTAACAACAGCTTGGCTCATGGTTCTGTGGTCACAGGTTTGGTAAATACTTGGTACTGCACTATTAGGAGTGCACAATAAGGACATTTTAGGTCTATGCTGATATTTTAATAGTGCATTTGGGCTTGGCAATAAGTTACTGCACCTTTAAAAGCATTTAAGAGCTTTGCTGCCTGTAAAATTATGTTAAAGATTACAAAAGAGTATTACATTCAGACACATACAATCTATTTAAGCTAGTCCCTCAACCACTCCAGTGAGAAATTTTTACTATCTTAGGCCCTGATTACACCTTGTATAAAGTTGTGTTTTGGTCTATTGGATTACAAGTAGATGAGGGAGACACATTCCTATTTAAACCTGGTGTTTTAACCCATCTCTTTTTTT